GTCAGCCAGTACGCTGACTTGCGACAGCCGAAAAGTGAGCAGAAATCACACGAGCTCACCAGCGATCAATATCACGGTCAGTCAATATCCATCAGGCAGGTCAAAGTTCGTGCGTCGAGCGCGGATATAATAACAGGCCTGCGGTAAGGCTGCAACAGTCCCGGTGAACAGGAACAATTACCCAGTTACTCTGACGATGGAACCGAGAGAGTGTCCGAAACGTCAGTCTCAAAATAAAATGGCCCATGTCCTCGTACCTTCTTCTGCCTCTTCTTTGGGGGATGGTGAAAACGAGAAGAAGAAGAAGAAGAAGAAGAAGAAGAAGCAGAAGAAGCAGAAGATGCGATCGCTGGGACAAGACTCGTATTCTCCGAGTGGCGACTGGCTTTGGCTAAGTTGAGCCTCAGCACCGAATATGGACTGGGGAGGTTGTTTCACTTCATTATGGACTGGGAGCCCGTGAACCATGACTTAAGTAATTCTCGACTCACACGATTGTCAACTCTCGCGAGAATGTCGGCCTCATCAAATTTGAATCTGTGGCCGGGTCTCGTCGAATGAGCCGCAATTTGAGAATTGGCATCATTTCTCCACACTGCTGCCGCGTGTTTGCCAATTTGCGTCTTGTAAAGTCTTCCAGTTTCTCTGACATAGTCGCTTTGTCCGTAACTGCATTAGATCCTATAGAGGACTCCAGATGTTTCTTGCTGTGGCCAATCCATATTTGGTGCTGAGGTTCAATTTGGCCAAAGCAAGTTGCCACTTGGGAAACGCACAGGCCAACGCCTCTTCTGACGCCCACACTGGCGAACCTGATGGCCGGGCAATCACCACGCATGATGCAAGTTCAGTGGGTCACGGACCGCATGCCGGGCATCAGGCAATTAACGCACAAGAGGGCAATTATCTTTAAGTGTTGTTATCATAAGTGTGCAGTAATGACTGTATCCTATAAATACCGCAACTGTTTCTGCATGCATTAACCGTTTCTGCTACTGTTTTCTGCTGATGGCTCTGATGAGGAATCCACGACGGATGTCGAAATGCCAGCCGAATATAAGTCTTGTCCCAGCGATCAAATCTTTTTTTCATTACGTTCCATTTTGACTAAGAGCCGGAGCTTTACAGCTATCGCAAGCAGTCGCGATAATTGATTACTGGCTACTGACTGAGTCAGGAACACTGGAGTGACCATTTCTGATTTATTTGCAGTCGTCAGCCTGGCGCTTGAATCCTGGGCCTGTCACTCCGGAGTGGGGTAAAACTGGCTGATATCCCTTGTCAGTAAATACGCGCTAACCACTGAGACATGAGCTCGTTATCTGCCGGCTTAAATCGGGAGACATTGATATTCGTTGATGAATGTTCCCCGAGGCTAGGTCGGAGCGGGAAAAAATGAGTTCCATGAGCTGTTGGTGAACGTTCATCATCCAGAACTAGTAGGAGTATTACTACTACAGTAAACCGGTATTAACGCATGTACGAAAACGTAGAAATAATAATTAAAAACCCTACGCAAATTTGCTACTTAAAAGAAATATAAAAAGTAAAAATTGTCTATTGAGAAAAAAAAAGCTGACTTATAACACTCAAGTTCCTCAGAATAAAAATAACTATCAATTAGAACAATATATTTAAATCTTTTCCTAAACTGAATGCATAATCTTACCGCTTTCTTTATCTCAAAAGTACTTTGCCTTAGTCAGATTATTTTGAACGTCTTGCCGTTATTTAATTGCAATTATTTATATAGTTGACCCTTAAATTCTGACAAATGTTCAACGATTTTCTGTGTTTTCAAGGTTTTTTTCATAAACATAGGTTTTGTTCGACGTTTATATCAAAACCTTTAAAATAAAATATATATTAAAAGTATTTACCGCAAAAAATGAGTCTGTGAATACTAGTTCATGGCCATGTGGGTAATATTTATGAATTCTTCCGAACAGCAAGACACAATGTTGAATAAAAATAAGTCCCGCGACAGAAGTCTGATATTGTTATTCCTAAGATTAACAAAAACTACCTATAATAGGTTACCCTCTTTGAAGACACTTTGATTAGATATTCAGCAGACGAATATCTCGATATATTACCATTTTCCAAGGTTATACCAAAATGAAAATGGAGGATTTGACAAGTTTTTTTAAAATTTATCTGAAGGCAAATGATGAAATTTGGCTGGACATGAAAGAACCCACTTTCCTCTTTATATTGGAGTATTTTCTACCATAGCGGATCACTTACAGGCTCTTTTCTATACTTGCGAATGCAATCAAGAGTGGCCAAATTTACACTAAGATATTCGTATAAACTGGAATACGCGCAGCCCAATAAATTTAAATTTGAAGAAGATGTTCTTTGGGATAAAAATAACTTTACTGAGTGAATTTTTGAGTTTGGCGCTTTGTATAACTTTGTCTAATTAGTGCTTTTTTCGGCAGTTTTGAAATTTTAGTTGTTTATTGTACTTTCCCTGTTAGTCCGAAGACGCTTTGGGGCGCTAAACTCGAAAATTCACTAATTAGAGTTATTTTTATCCCAAGGAACATCTTCTTCAAATACCAAGATATTGCAAAAATTATTAATCTTCTGCTGCTCCATCTCTAACTTACAAATAAGCGGAAATTGTAGTATAAAAATTTAGATTTAATACTTTTACTTTTATCTTCGCGATAATATATGGATGGTTTTGGTTAAGTCACAAATAGTTGATGGGATAAAGCAAATGTGGTCAAAACCTTTTTGTTACGGCATTTTTGGGCAAAATCACAAACCTTTTACACGTTAGCAAAAAATTATTTTCTTAACTGGAATTGCTCCTTGTTTTTGTGAAAATAATTGCCATTCCTTAAATTTGGCTTCAATTGTAGTGAAGCAACTTCTGACTAAATTTTCCAATTGTGAAAGTGATATGTTTTAAACTTTTCTTACTTATTTTTGGGTTTCCCCATAGCACAACGCATAAAAATTAAAATGTTTGGTTGTGTAATACATAATAGCATAGAAAATTTCTCCGATATCGGGCTGCTCGTGATATAACCGAAACGAATGCTTATTACCGTCACTAAAGTGAATTAAAAAGAATTTTTATTTACTAAAAGATTTTCTCAGGATTTTATCAATTCATTGAATCAAAATCAAGTGACTAAATATATACTAACTGGGGATGCTCATTCAAACGTTTCTATTTAATTCATGTAGGTATGGTTAGTTACCGTCTGACAGACAGTAGGTCGTGATAGAGCTGAGTAATACAGGGATCTCGATCTTTAGTAGTGCCACTGACATTAAAATTGCTGACATCGGACTCAAGATTAGGGTTAGTGTTAGGCGTTGGGTTATTCTTAGGGCCAAGGTTGATACTCCCTGGATTCGGGGATGAGGCTAGTGTTGGGTTGTTTTTGTCTAGGATTAGGGTTTCAGCTTTAGGTTTGGAGTTAAGCCTAGGGTTTTAAGGCTTGGGTTAAAGTTGTGGTTGCATTTGAGTTTTCTTCGAAGTCTGGTAGGTTAATTATTAGGATTCATTACAGGCATGGACACGGGCTTGACCTTAGGGTTGCGGTCAATTCCAGAGGGGTTGCGTACTGAGAGAGATGGAGAGAGGAAAAGGCTTTATTTTGAAGGTAATTATCCAACATTTTCAATAAAAATGACTCCAAGCGTTAAGATAATAAAATAATCCAAAGCTGGAGGCTTACATGAAATCCAAATCTATTATGGAGAGAGGTCAACTTTCGACTCTTTGATTTCTGTTCAGTTACACGTCAGGTAGTGTGCTAAGAATGGGAGTACACAGTGCCGATTTACGGCATGACATAGGTCGGAAACTTCGAGGCATAGTACGCAAAGACTTTGCAGGCATTAGGTAAGAGTGGAGTGGATGAGCATCCTCGTCAAAAATGCGATCAGCAAATTACCTTGCCGTTTTAAGCGGTCGCTGTATCAGCTAAAAAGCATAGGAAACCCAGACTACTGGAGAGAGCATTTGGAGGATACGTTTAAAACTCAATAGACACTTTTTAATCAAGGCCGAAAAAATAACCGGAGGAAAGAAGAGAATGAGGGGGAGAATGCAGACATCTATAACTCGCCAGATTAGGGCCTGGGAGGTGTGATATGAATGTAACCGACGGATATCATATGAAAATTTGCGAATTTTAATAAAGAGGGTTTGAATTTGAAGAATAAATGAAAGATTAGACGTCAGAGTAACACCGAAGTACCGCAAAGAGAATACCTCATTGGACAGGATGTCTAAGGATTCAGGACTGGAAGAAGGTCGCAGTCGGAAAACGCACTGGACTGACTCCTGATTATTTAGTAGAAGACCATTTGTTAAGGACCACGCTGAGACGTGGTCTGGGCCATCTTCTAATACCTGCTTTTTGATAGAATGGCTGTAAACCATATCATCAGTATATTTAACATACAAACATTCTTTTGGTGATCGCAGGTCCTCAGTATGAAGGGAGCAGAAGTGAGGGGATCAGATAGACCCTTGGAGAGCTCCGTAGTTAATGGGAAGGACCCTGGATTTTTGCTAGCCGCATTGAAGGAATTGAGTGTGAGAAGTGAAATAGTCCCCAACCGAAAAGACAACTCACCCGGGGAAGCCGCATGGCGCTGGATTGGATTAAAGGCTGGGGAGTATTCAAGAAAACACAACCGTATGCACGGCAACCCTTATCTAAATCTGTTAGAGCAGAATTGACTACCAGAGCAACAGTGTCTAGTGTACTACGCGTACGGGGTCGGAAAAATCGGAGGAAAACGGCATAATTATGTCCAAGGCAACTCGTTGTGCAAGGTTTAGTAGTGCAGAAGAGCAGGCAATTGGACGAAAGGATTTCGGACCAGAAGTAGAGGCTTCTTTCGGGGATGGGAGTGATTCCCACCGACATGCAGGGAACTCTCTAGCATTGATAGCACAGCGCTGGTTTTAGGCCGCACCTCCAGCAGCTACTTTCACGAGGTAAAACTTCGCTTTAGGAGAAGCTACCTACTGGCCCAAGTCCAAAGCATTCTTTTAGACGATTTGCCAAAACCTCTTCCTGTCCAGGTTTCCAGACAAGTCTCCTTTCTGGGCAGAGGAGGTCCCATCTCCACCTGGTTGCAACGTGCAGAAGGATCTAGGTGGTGGAGTAATTAAACGCAAAATGCCCGCACACGAACATTCACGCCAACGGCAAAAACCCATGACCTCAGCAGCTACGCGGCGCATTTTATATGCGCGTGTTTGTAAATAACCACACATAGAGGCGTCTGTAATGTCCAGCGAAGGCTGGGAATTTCGCCACTCCAGGCGGGGGCAGGGGGAGGACGGTGTTTCGCATCTATTGCGCCACGGCAATAAACTGAAATTCGCCATGCCCGGAATAACACACACTCGATGCCCAG